TTTATTAATTAATACATACCAAACCCAGCGCTCAAGTTTATCGATCATTTGTATAATTAATTCGCAGCGAGAATTCGCTGCGTATAATCCTGATTAGAATTTAATTATTTAAATATGTTAGATGTTTGTATAAATTTTTCCGCACTAAGCCAGGAAATCCTAGAATATCTCTATAATATATCACGCGTTATCCTTTGCCCGATTCCAAGGGTTTGATTTAGTTAAAGCTCACTTTATGAGCAATAAACCAATGTTCAATCCGATAAGTATAGCAACTTCAGTTTTTTAGTTTTCGTGTTATTTTATAAAAGACTAGAAAGTATGAAGTATGTTTAACTGGAAACAACGAAGCAATATAAAATTTCATTGCGTTTTTTTGCTGGCAAATATCGATTTTTCGCCGAAACTTAATTTAAAAACATTTCATGCAGATTGCACCATTAAACCGAATATAAATTCGAATCCACTTCGAGTGCACAAATGCATGCGCCATGCCATGTTTACACCCCTCGTGGAGTAATTGTAACAAAGGCGTAATATATGGCGCGCAAAGTGCAACCGGAAGTCGGCCATAAAGCGTTGTCACGTCCGAACGAACACGAACGCGCGCGCACCACTGAAACCGCCACGTCTTTTCGACCTATTTAAATTAATAAAGTTTCTCGTATTCCGGGTGTGTGGAAAATGCGCCATGCCACGTCCACCAAAGTTGTATGTATGTAGGCAATTCGAATGTTTGTCTAGTGAACCTGGTAACACAACATCTTGCTTTGCGCAAATGGAGACGCTTTGGAATAGTTTTGCGAATTTCCATCCCGGCTTGCGGTTCGTTTGCAGGCGCAGTGATCAAGACACAAGTGTAATGTAATAGATGCCAACGTGTCGAACTTTGTGTTTGTCATTAATCGCTGATTTGCACTTTAAGACGTCGAGAGATTAACTTCAGCTAATCCTCTTGTTACGTAATATCTCTGACACAATTTACGTGTGTGGAGGTGATAAAAATCAATTTGCGTAAATCCGGCCTTCGTAAGAGCAAATAAACATTAAGCATACGAGACGTAAACGAAATAGCGTCGCAAGTGCCGTGCGCGCGTCGAGGGAAATGAAAACAGACGTCCGAACGAGGTAGCAAGTAGTAGCGAGGCGCAATGACGCACTACTCGCCGCCGCCCCCAACGCGACGTTGAGTTAGTGATGTCGCTCTGGCGGATTAAAGTGTTTCCGAATTGGCGAATCGTTGACAAACAAGACGAATGAGGAATTGCAATGGAAAGCAACGCAAATACACGTCGTGACATTCGTGTTCATGAACAAAACAAACATTCTCACATAGAGAAAATAAGAACAATCATCAAATCACAATAAACTACAAAACTAAGAAAAAATAGTATATTAAGTATAAAGTGAGCTAAGTGACACTTTAGTCACGTTTTATTTTTTTTACTTTCACTTTATTTCCAGGTTTAATTATTGTATGTGAATATTTTATTTTAAAACTCCACCCGTGACTAAAATCAGTGACTAAAGTGCTTTAGTCACGGTCGTGATTAAAATCCCTCTTTTCGTGTCGCAAAAATAAATAAATAAATAAATGGTAAATAAATTTAATCTAATTCTTGTAATCTTGTAATTATATTAAGCTGGAAATGCGCACAAACGGATGACGAGGGTGAATCTATATTTATCGAAGCGAAATGCGGATGTCACACAATCGGAAATGACCGCTTGTGGCTTGTTGATTGAATTGCAAACGCGCGCCCCAAGCAAAAATCAAAGTGATGCTCTTTTTACTCCATCTTACAAGTCAATTGCCTTCTCTGAAAATATGCTTGGTTTTATCTCAGCTGTAGCTATTTGAAAGCGACGAGGAAATTTGATAATCAAAAAGAATTTCCACTACAATACGTTTTATTGACTCGGGAGTGCAACGCGCAACTTTAAACAAGAGTAAAAATACGAATAAATATAAAAAGAAAGAAATAAGTACAATAGCAGTGGAGTAAAAACGTCGAGTCGACACGATGTCGGCAGTTAGAGTTTGTTAAGTTTATAAAACGAACGAAAAGAAATCACGATACAAGTTTTTTTTGTTGCGTTTTTTTCGCGTTGCTTTCACGCTCATTATAGCAAAATAAGCTCATTACGATGTTCACAATGGCAACATCTTTAGGGATTGTGTGCACCTAGTGGACAATTAACAATTGCATCAATATAAATAAGTTTTGGAAGAGTTATAAAGCTAAAAATAGGATTTTCACTTTAAAAATTCAATTTTTTGCCCTAAAAATCATATTTTAGTAACATATTTTGTAAAATCTTCTAAATTTTAAAACTACAATGCTGTAAATTTAATATTTTTGGAGATATTGAGACTTTAACGTAAAAAAATTAGTTTTTTTCGTGAATTTCATCGAAAAATGTTCAATTTTTAAGTATGCAACCCAAAATACACGTTTTCCGAGTCTCCCAAGCGTGCACAAGCTTTATAATACTTGAATCTATGAATATAGAACCAAAAAATATCAAATTTCCTAATTAAAATAATATTCTACTATTTTTAAAGTTCCACTTGAAACTAATTCTTTTAAAACTTAATAATTAATTTTCTTCTCCAACTTTGCGTCTACAGTATTCACGCCGTCTGTAAACGAGCTGAGTAGTCACAATTTCGTTTCTCGTTTAGTTTTACCCCGGCGAAAACCAACCAACTTGTTTTTGCTGCTTTCTGGTTATCTATTTTAATAGATTTTAAATCGTGCGCGCTGTAAATATCACCGCGTAACGAACCGTGCCAGTGCCGCAAAACTTCTTCCCTCGCAAACGACAACATGGTTGTTAGCAAGACGAGATAAATGTATTAATCAATAATTCACGGACGAGCAATGGCCGCGTGTTACGAGCGCTTAAATGCGCTTCATGCCAGAATGCACTTTCAATCCGGCAATGGCCACCGTGTAAATAGTTATTGTACAACTAAATTCCGGTCTCAACGATAAACCCGATAAGATAATATTTTCCAGGAAATAAATTTAAATTTTTAAACACTCCGTATACTATAAGAAGCGAGGAAGATATGCGTGGGTTGTGATGTCGTTGCTTTTCAGACGTTTTTAAAATACGAGCCATAATTTTCAACGATGCGGGGGTGGAGGCGGGCGTATGGGGAAGGTATTTCCAAGCCGTTGCACGGCGGCAACCTTGCCGCCGGCGAGTCGTTTAGAACTTTGTTGTATGTCTAGAATTTCGATGTGACAGATTTTTATTTCTGCATAAATTCAAACTACTTGAATAAAATTTTATAAAAATTTTATAAATTTCCAAGAAAATAATTAATTGTTCTCTAGTTTTAACTACACAAAGAAAATAAGGGTTTATTACAGAGTACGAAGAGTGGATTTGCATAGATGGTGGAAAATGAATGAGTGACTAACCGAACAAGAGTTTCCTTCAAGTACGAGTGAATGTGAGATAAATTCAAATGAGAAAGTAATTAAAAGAATCCCCAATTAATTCAAGTGGAACTTTTAGGCCTAAATTCTAATTGTCTCAAAGTCACTGCGGAATTAAGGGTCAAAAGATGAAGTGTTACGCCGGGCAATTTATAAAATTCATTTCTTACAACTTATTTTTAAAGAAAAATTGTGTTATTTTATGTAATTTATAAAGAAAACGTCAGGAAAGTTTGTAATTTAAGTTAAAAATGAATTAATGGATGAAATTTTTAAGTGATCGATCATTAAATTAAATAATTAATCATAATATCAATTTTTAACCAAAAAAAATTAATTTTTAAAAAGTTAAATAAATTTTCCTAGTTTTTTTACTTTAAAAACAAAGTAAAACATTTTTATTACTTGAAATTCCTTGAAAACATAATATTTCAGCATCGAAAAGTTAATTATCGTAAACTTTAATCAATATATTTATTTAGTAGCAGGTTGTAAGCGGTTGTAAGTTACTTTGTCGCCAACATACGCAAGCGTCCTTATTTTTATTGCTCGTCCCGGGAGTAATTCCACCAAGTTAAAGTATTTATCCCTCAAGATTTATGGCGTGCAAACTTACAACTCGCGCGCAAAAAATAAACGATCAACGTGAACTGTTGTGAATGCTCGCCGTCATGATATAAAACCAACGTCGTATCGGTGTGATCAATCAAACTAACCACCATATACCGGAAACGCATAAGAACCGCGCTCACAGAACGAAAAAAATGAATAAAAATCAACACAAAACACTCCATTATTTTAATATGAGTTTGTACAAAGAAAAATCGTTAAGGTTGATAAATTGCGTCGACTTAATCCCAATTAACTCGCTTAGCGTTTATATCGGACGCCGGGGAGGCGAAAAAATGAGTTGTTAAGAAATTAACAACCAACGTAATGCTTTGTTTGCGGATGTGAAAATGGCCGAACAAAGCACGACGAGAATGTGATGCGATGCGTAAGGGATTTGTGGACCACGGGCGCATTATCAACAAAGGACAAGCGACAACTACTACTCGAACAGGCGGCGGCAACAGCAGCTTGAACGCATCGTCATTCATGTCAAACGCATTGCGTTCACTAAAGAAAGAATTACTACTAAAGTAATTAATTTGCGATTATAAATCGCTTAGATTTTAATTTTCCCTAAAAAATCACAAAGAAAAAATATCGGTTAACCGGTTTATTTTATTATTCATATTTTTAGCTAAATTTAATTACTTACGAAGTAAAAATCACTAGATTTCAAATTTTCCTCAAAAATTCCCAAAGGAATAATACCGGTTAACCGGTTTATTTTAATTATCCAGTTTTTATACACGTTTTAAGTATTTTCCAAGTAAAAATCACTCAGATTTATATTTTACCTAAAAACCTAAAGGAAAAACTACCGGTATACCGGTTTATTTTAATTTCTAAGTTTTTGTGCTCCCTTTTAATTATTTACCAAGTAAAAACCTTCATTCTGTTGATGATATCGCAAAGGGTGAAAAATTATGCAACACTTACCCAGCCTTCCGCACGGCCCCGGTGCAATTAAAGGAAGCGGCGGCGGTGCCAGTCTGTTTCGCTTTGTACGGTGAATTCATAACGCTTTCCCCATCATCTTCGTCGGAGACAGCAGTGGTTAGGGACATGCGATCATCGTCGGAGATCTGCAACAAAGAACTCGCACTTGTAAACAAACAACACAAAAGGGTTGAAAATGTTCTACAACAAGCAGGTGATACTTATAACTAAAACTTAAAAACACTTTTTCGTATTACATTTGAGGAAAATTTGAAAATTTTAAAGCTACAACACTAAAAATTTAATATTTTTGTAGATATTATGAGTTTAAATCATAAAATTTCGTTTTTTTCGAGAATTTCTAGAAAATAAGTTAATTTTTCATGTATGCAACCCAAAATACACGTTTAGCAGGTAAAAAACCACTTTTACGCGTTACATTTTGTAAAATTTCTCTAATTTTAACGCTAGAATACTTTATATTTAATATTTTCATAAATATTAAGTCTTTAAATCATAAAATTTAGTTTTTTTCATTAGTTTTTGTAATAAATTGCTAATATTTTGAATATGCAACCCAAAATACACGCTTCCCAAGTGTCGCTAGTCTGGCAACGCAACACAAGTTTAATCATACTTGATTCTATGAATATTGGTCCGCTCGTGAGTGCACTTTGATGCGAATAAACAAACAATCAACTATTGTTTACAAAATGTATACGCGCCGTGCACGAGTCCTGCAACTGCAACTCCCGAGTAAATTAATTCGCAATTCAGTCGGTCCTTTCACTCGCCACAGGCGAAACATATTTCCTCATACAGCGCCATCTTTCGCTTTCGCATACGCTACTCGTACACTCACTGCAGCTTGCTACGTGTAGTCAAAGAACACTTTTCGCTTTCCACTCGCGAGAAATAAATCCGGTGTGCGTTTAAACGTTGACTGGAAAGACTCGAAAGGTGCTTTCAAAGCTCGAAAGCTCCGCTCTGGCTTGCGTTGACTTCAATTTATCGCCCGCCGCGATTTATGCAGGCGTCGAGCACCTCGAGTGCAATCTGTTCCCGAAAAATTACTAACGTTCGCTCTCCCAACACTATGGTGAAACATGCAGAAATCAATAGAGCGTGCCGTCGGCAATGCGATTCAAAATGTTGCTTTTGATTATTTTCGAGGCGGTCTTTGATCATTTCGGGGGTGCAATCGGGTCAAATCATCATAAATAAATCGAATAATCTTTCTACTTTTACAAAAAATATAAATTTACACACGTAAAACAGAAAAAAATAAAAATAATAAATTTTTATCTGACAGCTATTAAATTCTAATTTATTATACTGATTATTAATGTCGGCTGCAAAGCAACTATCTTACTGGAAGAAGCAGTTAGCATTTTCCTTCGGTTTGAAGCACGGAAAACGAACATGCAGAGCTTTTAAATGAGAAAAATAAGAAAAAAATTGAGTTTTTTGTAAATTGTGCAAAAATGGTACTAAAAATTAAATTTTACAATTGTTCATCTTATAGAACTTGATAATATCTATCAATTAAAGCCAAAATTATTATTGTATCATTTTTAGTTTTGAAGATATAACGATTTTTATCATTCTATTTTACGTAATTTTAATGTTACTCTTTTGCAAATTACAGCTAAACAACTAAACGGGCAAATTTGATATTTTTGTCATAAAATCTATGATAAATTCTCTTTCTATTGATATCTTACTCAATTTTCTACGATTTCTCATTTATGAGATATCACATTGTAAAATTTAAAAATTTTATCCGAGAGCTATTAAATTCTAATTTATTACACTGATTATTAATGTCGGTTGCAAAGCCACTATCTTACTGGAAGAAGTAGTTAGCATTTTCCTTCAGTTTGAAGCACGGAAAACGGAAAGCAGAGCTTTTAAATGAGAAAAATAAGAAAAAAATTGAATTTTTTTGTAAATTGTGCAAAAATGGTACTAAAAATTAAATTTTACAATTGTTCATCTTTTAGAACTTGACAATATCTATCAATTAAAGCCAAAATTATTATTTTATCATTTTTAGTTTTGAAGATACAACGATTTTTATCAGTCTATTTTACGTAATTTTAACTCTTTTGCGAATTACAGCTAAATGACTAAACGGACAAATTTGATATTTATCCCAAAAAATCTATGATAAATTCCCTTTATATTAATATTTTACTCAATTTTCTACGATTTCTCATTTTAATGATATCACATTGTAAAATTTTAAATTTTTATCCGACAGCTATTAAATTCTAATTTATTACACTGATTATTAATGTCTTTCGCATTCTGTCACGCCTAAAACTTTTCAAGAAATTAATGCTGCTTATTTATTAAATATTCCTCATCCCCTGTCTTGTCCCTCACATTTCCGCTTTATAAAATTACGTCACAAATGTATATTAATTATTAAAGATTCCCGAGCGTAAAAATTCAATGCATGTATATTTTATAAACGTGAAAGAAAGCGACTGAAAAGTGTTCCGCACTTAAACGGATATGAGTTTCACTTGAAATTCCCTGAAAACCCTTGCAGCCCTCGCATCCCTCTTAGGCCGCGCTCTTCATTCTCTGCGGCAACTAGCTGTTCACTTACGTCGAGTGGCTTCACTCACAGATGAGAGCAAACAAGCTTCTTCTTTCATTTTTAAGTGCAAGCGTTTGAGGTTATCTCCAATCACGCCAATAAAACAACATTGAATTATATTATTATCACCGCGTGAGTTGATGGTGAAATTTCATTAAGCGAGGTGTCACTAATTGAGTTAAATTTCCACACAGCAGGCGAGCGGTGCGTTTATTTTCGAATGCGACGCACGTAGTTTTGTTCCTAAACACCACGTCGGACACCGCCGGTATACTAATACCGAAAATACCGAATAACCGAATGGAAATACAAATTGTTGGCCACTCCAACTCCCATGCAGGGGTTAAAACAAATTCCAAATGGTCCAATGATTTCCCAACCACCACCTCTACCAGCATTGCGTGATCGTGTGCTTATCGATTCCGAACGTGTCGTTTTGCGGTAATGTCCGCTTACGGCATCGAATTTTACTAAACTTTCTGATTTGCAATTCCAGCGCGCCGCGTGCCGCAGCCAGCAATGCATTCATAATCGCAAATTTCCGGCAGGTACAAATTGGAACGAATGCGAAACGAAACGAAACGAAGAATGCGAGGATGGCCGTCAAAGGGGATGATAAATTTTGCTTTACCTTGGGGGGTATTCATGTGTAACGCTATGACACGCCATAAAACACGAGGCGCGCTGCTTTTTTATTTTTTTATTTTTGAAGGGGAAAAGGAAAAGTTTTATAAATGGAAATCATCAACGTCAAGGTCATTTTACTATGTTTAGGTGTCAACGCCTCCGGGGGTTGAAACTTTAGAATTCATATTCAAAAGATTGCATATTCTGCGCGCTGTCAGCAAAACTATCCGAAAATAACCTTGGAATAAAATTGGGTTTTTTTACAAGGTTATAACTCAAGAATGAGAAATGGTAGAAAATTAAGTAAAGTATCAATAAAAAGGGAATTTATCATAGATTTAATGGTGAAAATAACAAATTTTTGGGTTTTATTGTTTGGTTGTAGTTTGAAAAATTGTGAAACCTTGAAATTATGTCTATAAAATGATAAGAATCGTTATATCTTGGAAACTAAAAGTGATAAAGTGATCATTTAAATTTTTAAGGATAGATATTAACATTGTTTATAAGATGTACTAATGTGATTTTATAAAACTTTTACCGTTTATCCACAAATTACAAAAAACTCAAGTTTTATCTCATTTTTCATATTTAAAAGTTTTTAAATTTCGTGTTTTTTACAACGTTATAACTCAAGAATGAGAAATCATAGAAAATTGAATAAACTATCAGTAGGAAGAAAATTTATCATAGATTTTATGGTAAAAATATCAAATTTTTCAGTTTAATGGTTTAACTTTAATGTGCAAAAAAGTGTAGCCTCGAAATTACGTAAAATAAAAAGAGGAAAAATTATTATATCTTCAAAACTAAAAATGATAAACTAATAATTTTGACTTTAGTAGATAGATATTCTTAAGTTCTATAAGATGAACAAAATTTAATTTCTTTTACCATTTTCCACAATTTACAAAAAAAAAGTCAATTTTCCTCTTATTTTTCACATTTAAAAGCTCTGCTTTCCGTTTTCCGTACCTCAAATTGAAGGAAAACGCTAACTGCTCGTTCCACTAAGATCGTGGCTTTGCAGCCGACACGTCCTGATTACAAGCTCGCCGAAAAGACAGGGAGCAGATGCAATACGCCGACCCTGCCAATACCATTCGCGCTTCACTGATCGCTTCACGTTTGCACGTTTTTCACGAAAGTTAGCCGCAGCCGCGACGCGCGCGGCTCGTGTCGTGCGCGTAATCGTTCAAGAGGTGAAAGTTTTTGCTCCTTCGTGGTTTTTCGCCGCGTCTTGCTTTTACTCTCAGCAAACTCAAGGCGGCACAGCGCCAATTGCAAGAAAATAAAACCAGGAAGACGAACAAAAAAGAAAGAAAAAAAGAGTCCTACTAAAGAATGGCAGTCGGAAAAAAGCCACAAAGCAGTGGATAGAAAAGAAGAGTGCATGAAGAGTGAAGACGCGGGTCGACGCGCAAAAAATACACGAAAACCTTGAAAAAACAAAGCGGAAATAAATGAAATGACTGGGCATTTTTTTAAAGTTACTTGTTTTCACTTTTCTACTTTTAAAATCCACAAACAGCGTAATTTTTGAATAAACTAGGTGAAATTTTCATTTGCGAACTAAATGCACATCGGAGTGGACTTCGGTCGAAAACAGAATGAGGTCAATCGCCGAAGCGATGGTAATCTCACAAGCGCATCCCGATTAAACTCATTTTCCTCTCTTGTTTGTATCCTATTAGTCGTTTTGCAATTCTCGGTCGTGTACTCGTTAGGGATGTGAATTTTGTGTTTAATACCGGTAATATTAGCGGCAGCGGTAGAAGTGACTCGATTCAGAGCACCGTACGAAGGTAGCGGTAGAAGTGACTCGATTCAGAGCACCGTACGAAGGTAGCGGTATAAGTGACTCGATTCAGGGCACCGTACGAAGGTAGCGGTAGAAGTGACTCGTGTTCA